TGAAGTTCACTAAAGCTGAGGCATGAAATAATTACTTGAGGGTTCACTGTATTATTGGGGGGAAAGGGTGAAAGACAGCCCTATATTTTTAAGATGCTATTTATTTGATACTTTAGATCATGACATTCTAAACTAGTATGATAGTGGGATTTTTTTCGAGGTTTTCTACAAATATTCTTAATGAGGCTGGAAGAGGAAGAATAAAGAAAGTTAGAAAAACATCTTTTGCATCTTCCCTCAAAACCTCTTTCAAAAGCTTCAGTAAGTTATACAAATTTATAAAAATATAAAAAAAAATAATTAAGAAAATATTCTGAAATTGCTCTAAGAAAAAATTTGTGACAAAGCAATGTGATAGTTCCAAGATACAATAACTCTGTATTTTTCCCTGCCATGTCTAAAACTGAAAGGAAATTTAAAACATTAACAGTCCACTAAAATTTGCTCCAAAATAATTGTGAAAGGGTGGGAGTTACAGAGAAAACAAGGTTAGCCATGTGTTCCTGCTGATGGTAGGTGATGAGTTCATGGGATTCAAGTTTCTCTTCTATTTACATGTTTTGTTTAAAGCTGTCTATATAGTCATTAAAACACAAAGTTAATTGTGTATAGAACATTGCATTTGTTTTTAAAGCTTTGTTAAAATAATGATAATTATGTTGGAAATATTGCAAGAGCAACAGAAAAGAATGTATATGACATATACAATAACATTTAGACTTACATATAACTATTTTCACCTTTCCTGTTAATTTTTCACTTGATGGAATACTTGGGATTTTAAACATTGGGATTTAAAGAATTGCATTGCACTGTACAAAAATAAATAAATAAACATTTTAATATTGAAGCATAAATAAAAAGAAACAGACCAGAAAAAGAAGACTCCAATGAGACTCTAAACCTTTAGGGACAGAATTAAAATAGAGAGGTGTTGACTGAGAATAGTGTCTTGTCCCTCTGAAAGCTAGTCACACTTATAGGAGTAAAGATAAAAGGTTTAATCATATAAATTATAATCTAAATTCATATGAAAACTCACAAGCTACATCCTTGATACAGTTTGGATATCTAAAATTCTTATGACTCTTTCTATAAAGGGTTTCTTTCAAAGAAAAGCATTTTTAATAGTCATTTTCTTCTCCTTAAACATAAAAAATACTTCAACCAGCCCAACCAGCCAAGCAGGCCTTTCCCTTCCCCTGCGGACACCTCCTGCAGTAGAGAAGTTCATTAAGTTTTATGATCTTCCCAAGTCAGTCCTGCTTATAAGCCTCACAAAGGCCACAAATCTGGCAAACCATCATGTATGCCATTAGACATTACTAGTAAATGAACGCTATTTAGGGTTTGTGGTGGCAATAAATCAGAGTTTGGTTGGCAGCTATCAACATGGAGTATTTTAACCTACCACTTAAAAAAAGGAAAAGGCTGTGTTGATTTTTTTTTAAATATACAACATTTTTTTTTCAATGATTGAGATTATATACTAAAATGCTGGATTTTCAATTAAAAATTTTTAAATACTTTTTTTTCCTCAAAAAGAGCCATTTCCTTCAATTGAAATGTCACAATTAAGGGCACTGGAAAGAAGGCAGATTTGTGAGGATGTTTTCACAAAGGAAAGCACTTCAACAATCAAGTTGAAGGTGACCAAAAAGATGTGAGGGAATGTACCAAAAAAAAGTATGTAGATGAGGGGCCCTCATAGCATCAGGGATGTTTAATAGGAGATAGATGATAAAATATGACAAAAAAAAAAAAAAAAAAAAAAAAAAAAAAAAAAACCCAAAAGACAAATCTTAACATATTTATCTCACTGGTTGCTTCGTTTAAAATGCACAAACATCTTGATTATAAAGCCTGTAACTTTTCAGTTGCTTCCAAAATGCATAAGAACCATAATTTAACAATGACAGGCTTTTCTGCCCAAAAATAATTGCATGTTGAATTTTACAAAAAAAAAAAATTTTTTTTCAAGAAAAAGCAAACGTCTCATAGTAAAAGTATACTTTCCCTACCTCTGCACAAGAAAATAATATAATTGTGGTAGATTAGCCATTTATCTGTCAGAAGGAAAAAAAAATACCTTTCCATGTTTAGTAGGAGGGAAAAAAGATTTTTCCAAACTAAATTCCTCATGTGCATCAGAACTGGCAATGTTCACTGATCAGAAACCTAAAAATCTACTGGCAAATCTACAAATATATGGAATTTTTTTTTTTAATGATTGTCTTATTTTCTAAGAAGCACAACTGAAATGACTTTATTATCATTGAAGTGATGGTTTTCTCTCCCCACTCCCCGCTAGTCAACCTCCTTTACTCCCCCCCGCCCCCCATTATACAGAATAGAGTCATCACATAATCTTCCCAGTTTCTATTATAAATGACTAGGTAAACTTTATCTAAATCACAGAAAATTAACGTTTGGCTACTATATTATTAGATTACATAATAAAATGATCTAAAGGAAAAAAAAACCATTATACAATCTATTCTACAATGCTTATAAGTTCATGATGTTTCCAAACCATGACTATGGAACCGATTCGGGGGTGGTGGGGGAAGCTGAAATTTGCTGTCCTGCTTTCTTTGCTTTGGTGAGGCTTATGTCTACACAGCTGTTTTATTTCAAATCAGGGATTCTGAGTCCAGCTTCCCTGTCTCCTTCTAAGACTAGTTTTGGACTGTGAGGTGGAGCTATGAGTAGTAGGGGAGAAATGAGGGGAGAGAAAGAGCTTCACCCCCATCAATCATTCGGTACTTAAATCCCATTCCTCTCGAGCTTAGAGAGGCTGGCAGGAAGATGCCTGTAACCAGACAGCCTTCTTGACTCTGTCGGCTGTTAGCTTTTTACAAAAGAGATAACATACAAACTTGGATCCCCTGGCCAAAGCACAAAAAAGAGGACCTAATTTACAATTTATCACTGAAAGCCTCAAACGATTTTCAGACACAAAAATTTCCTTTGTCAGCTACCTCTTGCTTTTTAAATAGCAAGAGCCCTACACCAAAGCTTTTCTGCCAGACTCTGAAAAGACTTGTTTCTTTTTCGTAACTCACCTTTGACATGAGGTTGACTACACTCTCCTTTCAGAATGGTGTAACTAAGTCTTGTGCAAATAAGCAACTAGAGGACTTAGGCTTCCTAATTGAATTCTGCCTGCTGCTAAATGTCTAAACAAGAAAAGCAGTTTGCTGGGTATGGTTCTCAAGGTGGCTAGGCCAAAACTTTAAAAAGGAAAAAGAAAAAAATTATGAGAAGAGGGTGAGGGGAAAATATCAATACCCTCACCCAGTAATATAATGCCGTATAAAGTGGAATCAATCTTAATATTCACAACATAGTCAATACCCCAGTGCTCAGCTGTCAGCAGAAACTGAAGTGGAGCCCTGATAGCAAGAAAATCCTTGGACATTAAGCAGCATAATTTACTGAGAATTATATACTTTTAGACTCCTAACCTAAGGAAGCCTTAAGATTTCATACTTAATGTCTTCTTTTATAGTCCGATAAAAATTATCTACCATTTCAAATCACAATGTTTTCTAAAGATAGCTAAAAATCAACACAAGGTAAAAGTTAGTAATTTAACATGTCGGTGGTTTACAAAATGAGAAATATATCTTTAAAAGAATCACTCAACATTAGAAAATCATGAATACTAAAGTGAATGAAAAGCAGGAAAAAACGACTCGTTAAGGTTGTCAATATTTTCTATTAATTATGGTTTTAGCATATATTTTAATAGACAGCAATAACCCATTATCCTTTCTTGACTACTTTTAGGATCAGAATAGCATCGCAGAGTGAAAATCTGTTTAAAAGGAAGGTCACTAACAATTATATGCAGTGTGCTATTAAATTGTGTACTCAATTTAAATGCAATCACACTTAACCTTTTAAATAGTATCACTTGGCTATTGTTACATCCTGGACTTTAACTTTCTCTTCTTTGCCTAAACGTTTAAAAAAAAAAAAATGGCAGCTTTATAATATGATATAGCTAACACACACCAAAAAAATGAATAAAGATAAACAAACAGTAAAGCTTATTTAATGCACTGGTTTGCCATAAACAGGGCAGCTAATACCAAATATTAAAACATCTAGATGAAATCTATAACTTCACTTGAGTTATAACTGCCACCTCAAGACTAAAGTATCTTCCACTATAAAAAATCTTAAGAAAAAAAATTAAATTGAAATTAATTGCAGAAATTGACCTAATATGCACTTGTAGTTTTCATTCCAGCACTCCTGCACAAACTGTCTTCTCACATAATCCCTGACTTGAATACGTCAAAAAAAATTGTTTACCCTGCATCTGTGACCTTTTTCTATTTGATAAAATATATTGACCATATTTACAAAATGACTTCAAGCATAAAATATACTCGAAATACTAATAGGTGAGATACATTGTATATGCTTAAACGCATCATTAGCCTTTCTCGATTCTTAAAAAAGTAGTCTTCCCAACTAAAACACGAATTCAAACGTGCCACTGAAGTCTGCTCCATGGCATCTATTCTTCTATCCGAGGAGCTGACGCTTAAGGCTGTCCAAGTATAACAAAGTTCGGGCGATGCTTCTCCCGGGGACCCGGTCCCCTGGCATCCAGGCTCCCGATGCTCCTTTTAAAAACTGACACACAAACAAGGCGAAAGGAGCGCGCAGGGGCGGCGGGCGCTCCGGGCCCCCTCCCCGCCCGCAGCCAGGGGCGGCCGCCGGGGGACCGCGACCCGGCCCCGTCCACATCTACACTTCATTGTACACCGGGAACAGAACGGAGAAATCGACTCCAGATTTATGGCAGCTTTTTTTTTTTTTTTTTTTTTTTTTCCTCAAGATCAGGAGGTGGGAAGGAGAGAATGATCAAAGATGGCGGTGCCCAAAAGCAGCAAGCTCTCCACTGGAGGAGTCGAAGGAGTAGCTCCGACCCCACCTCGGGGGGCGGGGGGTCTCGGGGCCCGCGGCGGGGCGCGGCGTCTTACCTGTTTTCTCTTTGATCTCGCACAGGACGCTGAAGAGCGCGGGCTTCATTCGGTGACAGTTCAGGGCATGTTTCCTAAGAGAGCAAAGAGCAAAACACAAAGGTATTAGCATCACCTATGGAATAATATGGCGCCTACAAGTTAGACCCAAGATTTAATGCCGGCTCCCGGGGTTTGGAAAGCGCTTTTGAAAACCCTGGCAAAGTCCACAGAAACTCAAGTTGACTTGGTGAGAGCGACAGCCGGCGAGCTCCCGCAGCTCCCGGCTCTGGCCCGAACCCCGCGCGGGCGACCCGCCTGCCCGGCGGGCAGCAGCCCCGGCGACCGGCCGCGGGGCGCGAACCCGCCCGTGGAGCCGGGGCCGGGGCCGGGGCAGGCGGCGGCCCGCGGGCGGGGACGGCGCGGAGGGGCTCCCGCGTCCGCCCTGCACCGCTGACAGCTCAGCTCGGCAAAGTTTGCGGGCGGCCCTCCCGGCCCCGCGAACTTGGCCGCCCGCGCCCGGCCCGGCCGGGGAGCACCCCGTCGCCCCGCGCCCGTCGGGCGAGGCGAGGTCGTCCCGCGGCCGAGCGGAGGCCGGCGCCGGGCCCGGGTCCGAGGAGAAAGTTGCACTTCCCTCCTCCGCGGCGGCCCGGAGCCCTCGCCGGGCCGGCGGGCGGGCAGCGTGCACGGGGTCCGGGCGGGCGGGCGGGAGGTTTGAATCCGCGCGCGGGGGCCGGGCCACCGGAGGCCGGACGGCGCGGGGGGGGGGGGAGACAACCACGACCTCCACGTGGCGCCAAGTCCGCCCCGAGCCCCCGGGAGCAACTTTGCGGATTCCCGCCCGCGTCCGGGGGGCGCAAGCGGGTCCCCCGAGGCCCCCCGGGCGGGCCGCCGGCTTTCGGAGAAAGTTCCCTGCCCGGGGCCGAGGCCCCTGCCCCCGGCGCCGCCCCGGCCGCCCCCCGACCCCCGCGCGCGCACACACAAAAGATGCTTTAATGAGACGACACCAACTTTGCTTGCGCCTCGTCCAAGCTCTGGTCGGTGATGGTCATGATCTGGTGGAGGATGTCGCCGATGTCCTGCTTCCTGCCGTCGCCGTCCGCCCCTTCGTGGCCGTGCGGGGGCGGCGGCAGGGCCATGCCCCCCTGCACCGAGTGGCCGGCCAGGTTCACCCCGGCCAGAGTCTGCAGCATCCTGGATTGATCGTCCATCCCGCCGCGCGCGGGCGGGAGCGGGCGGCGGCGGCGGCTGAGGCGAAGGCTGAGGCGGCGGAGGCGGCGGCGGCGGCGGCGACGAGGGAGGAGAAGAAAGAGGGGGAGGGGGAGGGGGAGGCGGCCGCGCGCTCCCCGCCCGCCCGCCCGCGCGGGGAGGGGGCTGCCCGGCCGGCGGGGCCGGCGGCTGAGGCGGTGCGGACGGGTTCCCGGCTCGGGCTTCCGCTGCCGCCGCCGCCGCCGCCGCCGAAGCTGAGGAGAAGCGACGAGCGGAAGCGCCGGGCTCCGCGGCGGTGGCGGAGGCGGAGGCAGCGGCGCCCGCTGCCCTCACGCGGCCGCCGCGCCGCCTCCTCGCCGCCGCGCACCCCGCCGGGCGGCCCCGCTCAACTTGCTCCTCAGCGCCGACCGAGTTGCCGGGACGCCCGCCGCCGTCCGCCGCGCCAGCCTGCGCACTCCCCGCCCTCGGCCGCCGCCGCCGCCGCCTCCACCGCTTCGGCCGTGCGGGAACCGGGCCCCTGAGGCCCCGGGGGAGGGAGCGGCGGCGGCGGGCCGCGGCGGAGGAGGAGGAGGCCGGCGGGTGGGCCCAAGGGGGCGGAGGAGGAAAGTTTGGGAGCGGGCGGGCCGGCGCGGCGGGGGCGCGGAGCCCGGTGGAGGGCCCCGGCGGGCCGCGCGCCGGGCGGACAGCAGATTGATGGGGCGGGAGAAGTCGCCGCCGCCGCCGCCGCCGGAGCCGCGCACCCTGCCAGCAGCCGCCGCGGACCGGGCTCGAAGGCCGCCGGGCTGAGGGATTGACAGGCTGCCTGTGCCACTCACTCACTGCGGCCCGGCGCCCGGGGGGAGGGGCGGGGGCGCGCGGGAGGGCGGGGCCCTCGGTGCACGCCCCGCCCCCAGGGCGGCGCGCGCGCTCCATTGGTCTCCGCGCCTCCCGCCGCCGCCGCTGGCCCCGCCCCCGGAGCTCGGCCCGCCCCCTCTGGCCTCTGATCCGGGTGCGCGCCAGGGCATCCTGACTCCTGCCCGCGTCCTCGCACCCCGGAATGGCCCGCCTGGGACCACACATGTGACCTGGCCCCCGCTCCTGCTACCTAGTGTTAACGGTCATGGGTGCGATGAGTTGTGTATGGGACACCAGGCAACTCGCTCCGAAGCCAACTATTTGTGCTTCTCCAAAGCGCGGCGAGCTTCACGCCTCGGACAGCGCCAGGTACATTTTCCCGCTCTACCCGTCAGGAGGTGGGACCCTCAGGGTGCCTGGCCGCCGGCCCCGGGCCAATCGCATCGCTCTCGGAACCGAGTGGGGCGGGACAGAGGCACGAAAGGGCTGTCCCAATTGGAGCGTTCGAAATAGGGACACAGGCGGGTAAGCAGGGGCTAGAGGCCCCGCCCCTCCTGTGATCACCATGGTAACCGAAAGGGCGCTGCTAGGAGTTGGCGCCAGCGCTCTGGCCTTGTGCTGTCTGTCCCTCAAGAGGTGACCAAGTAAGGGTACAGCCACTATCTAAGATCTACATTTGAACCGACTACACTTTCCCTTAAAAGGGAAGCATATGGCCCTAGCCGGTTTGGCTCAGTGGATAGAGTGTCGGCCTGCGGACTGAAGGGTCCCAGGTTGGATTCTGGTCAAGGGCATGTACCTTGGTTGCGGGCACATCCCCAGTGAAAGGTGTGCAGGAGGCGGCTAATTGATATTTCTGACTCTATCCCTCTCTGTAAAAAAATCAATAAACTTTTTTTAAATATATATTTTTTAAAAGGGGGTGAGCATATGAAAATGGAACCGAGAGAAGTAAGGAGGTAAGGGACCTGACATCCAGGACTAGTTTAAGCCTTAAACACCTTTATACATCTTGCAATTCCTTGTAATCTACCCCGTTTCCCCGAAAATAAGACAGTGTCTTATATTAATTTTTTCTCCCAAAGTTACGCTAGGTCTTATTTTCAGGGGATGTCTTATCTTTCCATGCCCTAAGTCTTATTTTCAGAGGATGTCTATTTTCGGGGAAACACGGGTAGGTACTAGTCCTTTGGCAGTGTTTGCTTTTAGCTGCCTCCAGAAACACCAACGCTGCAAAAATATGTTTATTTAGGGGTGGACTGGATTTCACTTATCAACCTACCATATCATTTAATGTTGGTGATTCTAGCCACAGCTTTTCATATGTTTAACACCTCTTGTTCCATTACATTCTGTTTACAAATGACTAAAAGCTCACATTATTTGGAAATCTGGACTTCCACCTCTTGTGGACACTTGAGCTTTCTCTTAACCTGATTTTTTGAATCAAGGTTTCCCCATGTTTCCCCAGTCAGAGGGAAACTTTTGGTGAGATTCATAGAGCTCACCCTAAGAGGGTCCCCAGGTTAGATGGTTCTGAAAACACTCCTTGTTTCTTCCCCAAACTCAGTAAGCTGCCTTACCTGAAACCAAAAAGAGGGGTGTGAAGTATGAAAAATGGCTCTTACTCTGCGGGACTTAATGTAGAACAAGCAGTTCTTTAGGTGCCAGATGGATTCTTGGAATGAAGCTGGCTATTCTGTTCCAGGTTCTTTCCTTCCTATGTTTGTGTACTTTTAAATACTCCCCACTGCAAAGCTAATAGCTAGCCTTACAGTTAGGCAAGCTAAAATCCTTACAAACTGCTCAGCTTCTGGAGAAGGAGTTCCAAACAACCTACTCTGCTTTCTTACCTCCAAAGAAGAAGGCCCGCATCCCATTAGTATTGCCAGCTCTTCGATGGTCCATGTATGTGTCAAGTTTCATTTCAAGCCCCCATTATGGGTTACTCATAGTCCTCTATTCTTGTTTTTCAAAGCTGTCACCAAATCCTTAAACATTTTTTTGCATAACGGAGTAAGAGCAAGCAGCCAATCTTTCATAATTCTCCAACATTGAAGATGTAAAACCGTGGAATTCTATCTGGAAAATGCCTTAAAAACCTAAATTCTAGTTCTAAAATTTAATGATCCTGTGACTCGCAATCAGGCCTCCTCCTTGCCTTCCTTCTAGGCTCATAATCTTGACTAATCAGTCATGAGGATGAGGTTAATTAGCGATGTGGATTTATGGTTATTTCCAGCCCACTCCAAACAGTGAGTTATGTAAGCACAGCAACATATATAAAAATGTAAATAAATGTAAAGAAACACTTAAGCAAATAAAGACGATTGGGAACTATGGGCTATGTAAGCAAACAGGAACATAAAAACATAAATTAGAATTAAAAAAACAGTTAAGCAAATGCCAATCATCAAGAACAAAACAACTCATTAAATGTCTAACACCCACAGCTAGTTTATGGCACACACCTTTAAACACGTGATCATTCATTCAGTAATGTGGAAACTTGATGCAATAATTCTGCATTAAGTGATTGGATTGGATTAGATTGACCTTTCACTCGGGAGGCTTTTCTTTTTTGATATTATCAATATGAATTGCAATAAAAGCTAGAGGGGCCTCGCAAGGTTTTTCTCACAGGCTCATTGACAACTGCCATTGATTTAAAGCATAAATTCTTTGAGATTGGTTTCCAAGCCCCGGTCCACAGTGCCAGCTAATTGCATGAGCTCCAAGAGCTTTGTGCTTTTGGCCCGTCTCTCATGTAGATGTTGCCTTGTCTCTGCCGAATCAGCTGATTGATAATAGAAGAGCACCTCCCTAAGCATCTGAATCCATCTTTACTGTTTCTAAGGCAGTGATTATTAAAAAGTCACGGGAAATGTAATTTACTTTTGGCAAGTGTACATTCAGGTAAGGTTCACAGTGACAAAGTGGTGAAAACCAATGGAGACTCTCTCCTATCCACTCCTATCCATGGATTTATATGAACATCACCACTGCCTCCATCCCTTGCCATTGATGAGCACTTCTTCGCGGGGCAGGGGGGGTAGGGGGGATAGGACAGGACACTGAGCTCTGTGTTCCCTTTTTTCATTTTATTTCAGTCTCAGGGCCCTATCTAGGAGCGACTATTAAATAAGGAAACAATGCCAAACCTGGTTTGGCTCAGTGGATAGAGCGTCAGCCTGTGGACCGAAGGGTCCTGGGTTCAATTCCGGTCAAGGGCATGTACCTTGGTTGCGGGCACATGCTCAGTAAGGGGTTTGCAAGAAGCAGCTGATTAATGATTTTCTCTCATCGATGTTTCTAATTCTCTATCCCTCTCTCTTCCTCTCTGTGAAAAAATCAATAAAATATATTTTAAAAATAAATAAAAAGAAGACAATAAGAGAGGGTGAGGAATTTACACAAGACAATAGTACTAGGGTTTGAATTCAAATCTTGATCTGTGCTATTGGAAAGCCCACCCTATGAAAGACTGCAAAAAAATAAAAACAAAGATGGTCATTTAGTCAAGATTACTAAATAAAAATCACAAGGCCTTAACAGGTGAACTATACATGAATGAAAATAAGTAAGTAGGTACTCAGTAAAAAGAGCATATAAACAGAGGAATCGGAGGAATCCAGACCTTATGGCAGCGGAGAAGAATAAAGACCATCCTTCATGGCCATCTAGGATCCTGCTGCTCAGCCATGCCTGCCTTCAATGATCCTCATCTGCTCTAACCTCTCAGAACGTAACACCCATAATATAATTTACCACTATACGAGATAGTCCTGTGTTATTTGCTCTCCATTAGTTTTCTCATTGAAACCCGTTGGTTTTCTCACTTAGTTCAGAAACATAAGGGCAAGGTATTTTATGATAAGGTGACTATAACATGATTTGGCTTAAAAAAAATTAGAGATCTAAGAAAAAGTTAAACTTCCCTAGCTGTCACTTTGGGGAAACTGCCCAAATATTTATTGCCAAACATATTTCTCTACCACTTTAGGAATGACTATTAAAAAGTGGTCTTTACAGTTGGGAGTACATGTGACATGTGACAAATTTGCATCTTCTGAGAATGTATCTGATTAAGCAACCAAAGGATCAATGCACCCTTCTATGATGAGGTCCTTAAAAGATAATATTTATTGGAATACAGTAGTCTCCCCTA